AAGAATAGATTACTGTCGCGCGCAGACATTCATAGGTGGTCTTTTCGCGCGATGTTTTATTTGTACATGTAATAAAGAAAATTTCTGTCTGGTTTTACTCATTACAGCGATAATAAGAAAAAGCTTTTTACCGCCATTTCCCTTTTAAGGAGAAAAGAATTTTTAGTTTCATAAGATAACGAGCCACGTGGATAATACGTATGTGTTTCTTCGTTCTGTATTTTTATTTATAAAAAAAAATCAATCCGGCTACTTGATAGACGCACCTCGCATATTTTTATAAATACAGCATTGTTTATTTTTACAAATACTGTACACTGTGATAGATATTGTAACAAATAAATGTGGTATAAATATTTTATTAACAGACTTTTAATAAGTTAACAGATAATGAACAGAATTCAAAGAGAATTTATCTTTTCTAAGCATAAAGGGATATAACCTTCTAACGAATAAATGATATTACATTAGTCCTTGAAAAAAATCCCTGCTGTTTGTCGTGTGTGCCTACGAAACACATTTACAATACCAAACGAGCTCCCCATAAGCACTTTATAAACAACGAAAAGCTGTTATGTCTTAGACACATGACCATTCTTAATTTACAATATACGTAAAAGATATTCTGAGCATCTGCAGTAAATATGTTCATGTATACTTCCACATACATGTATTAGTTCTAAACACGCGACTAGGACACATGTGTTATCGAACGCATTTTGTCGAATGCCAGCTCTTTTTGGCTGGCAAAACATTTACTCAATAAATATTTGTTAAAATCGTTTGATAAAATCGCAACTACATACATCTCGAAGAGATTGTTTGCAACTGTACAATTTAGTCTCTTCGACGCAAAATCCCTTTACCTTAACATGTTTACCGCTATACATGTCGCCGCTGTATAATTTGTTATCGAATGGCACGGCACGACCTTTGTTGTAGTCTGACTTCCCACCTCCCGGTAGATCATGTCAACACATACATAAATATATTGAATAATCCAAGCAATGTACGATCAAAGTTAGTATCAACAAATCAATAAAATAGTAACAATTTAACTGAAATAAATCAATTGTATATATCTGTTAAATAATCCTATGTAATAATTATAAAAACAATTTTTAATTACATAGCCAACCATGTACATTTTTTTTGGCAAGATAAGACAATTAATTTTTATAACATATTTCGAATGTAACGAAATATATGTATTAAAATATATGGCGCGATGTCCTTCCGACGATTAAGGAAGATAGTCACGAATAATACTACTGGGCGCGTTAACAATAAAAATAACTGTCTGTTTTGCCAGAAGCGGGGCTTCATTTCTTCGAATTCTCGGAAAGAATCTTTCTTCTCTTTCCCACCTTCTTGGCTACTATTTTATACGTTGTACATATAATTCATTGTTCTACGTTATATCGTAGCGAGAAAAAAACATAAGAATACCTGCACTAACACCGCCGCGTAGGGTGGAGGCATCGACGCCTAAATCGAAAGTTATACAACAATTAGCGTGACGCAAATATGATTGCGATATACGGTGAGCGCGCCCGTTATTCCGCTGTTCACTCACGTTGCGATATCGTAACAAGTTAATAAATTCGCTAATATGTTCTGTTTATTTAATTCATTAAATTTTTGCAAAATGTTCTTATATTACGCGATACGTACTTTGCAATGTTCTTGACAAATTTTGCAATTTGTTTATTTTTGATCAAGTTCTACCTGTTGATAGAAAAATCGAAATTTTTTAATGGATCGTTTTTCCACTTCAAGCATAGATTGAAGAATTTTTGTCAATAATTGGCATTTCGTTCTTTATTAAACATTATTAAATTGTTTTTTTCTGAAAAGGAAGGACTGACAACTTGAATCATCTGCGAAAAATTTACGATCTTTTGTCATTAACATTCTAATTGTTTTATTAAATATAAGTCATTTTTGTTTCATTTTAAACCAAAAGCTTGATTTATATATATATTTTTCGGATATTGCAGTAGTAAACTATTTTCTAAATATATACTTAATATTTTTGTGGAAGAGAGAGAAAGAGAGAGAGAGAGAAAGAGAGAACAAGAAAAGAAGGTTACGATCAATAAAACCATGTCAGCATAGTTGCTGCGGCTTCTTCGAAAATGACGGTTTAACTTCCGAAAAAAAATTAAGGGTGAAGAAAGGATTCTTTTCCGGGCTTGTCTCGAATTGTATTTTGCAAACTAGCGGTAATTTCTTCTCCCGTTTTTCTTTCCCGAAAAGTCCCGTGTTTTATATAGCAAAGCATGACTGACACAAATTAACGGCACAGAATAACGGTAAAGAATTTTTTCTTTTCAGGGCAATAGAAACAAGGCCTTTATAGAAATAAGGTTTTGTTTTTTGTATCTGTGGAACAGGGGGTTAACGCGGATTCCTTCGTATCGAAGATCTCAAACGACACAGGAAACATTGCATAAATATATTCTTACAAACTTAATCAATTCCCTCTTTTTCGATAAGATAAAAGTGTTTAAAATATGGAGAAGAATATCTGGAAGATATATAATTTTGCCATGTAAATTGTTGATAAAAAAAAATTGTACTTGCATAAGAATTATCCGTGTGCGCACTTAGTTTCATACAATCTTATTTGCGTAGCCGTATAATTATTTCGTTGTATTAAATCTTGTTTTGCGTAAAAATACAGTTTTGAAAAACGGTTATCGAAAACGATGTTGATTTGCATAATATTTAGATTCTGATATGATATATAATAATGATTATGATATAATGTATGGAAAAAGACCAGAACAAACTAATAAATTAAAACAATTATACCAATCGCTCGCATTATCATTGCGAGAAATTTATGCAATACAACTTTAACAAAGAAGTTTATATCGTGGATCGTTGATAGCAATACAAAAATAGAACTGATAATAAAAGAATGTAATATGCGCGATACGCGAAGTGTACTCGTGCTATAAAATAATATAGAATGTGCGATGCATGTCGTCGCGGACAAAATTAATTCGTAAAGCAAATGGCGAAAAGAACGTATAATGAATTGGTGCGTCATATGGAAGCGCATATGGGTGGGAGTGATCCTCCTTCGGGGCTGGAATGGTTGAAAAAAAAAACCGTGACTTCATGTGCTGAAAGCTTAAGAACATCCCTTTACCTGAGACGTCGGATCCGTTCAAATAAGGTAAGATAATAGCTGTTGTAAAACGATAGTAATAACCATAAAACTTCTGGTCCCTTATTGACATACTCTGTCAAATAGAGAAAGAAACAATATACATTGTCCATTGACATACTCTGTCAAAAGAGACAATATATACATATGTTCTTTTTCCAAAATAAATTATTTATATTGAATATGTGTTACTCGTTCTAATACTGTAATATATAATACATCTACGTGATTTCATTTGTATTTTGACTGAAGTAAATTATAGTCATAAATCAATTAATTTTAACCGAAGCGAATTCTAAATGTGAATCTATTGTTCACGTATTTTTTGGTTTTTTTTTTGTCTTACAATTCTCAAATCAGCTTATTTCTGTATTATTTCTCACTTCGTATGTATGCGTGTGTGCGTGTGCGAGCGTGCGTACAAATTCAGAAACATGTAAAAATACATCTTATAAAATATTGATAATGTTTGATTGGAATTTGTGTTATAAACAGATTTTAATTGATTTTTATCTTAATTTATTAAAAATGTTATCAGAAATATATACACAAATAAATTTACCGCACATTAAAATATAATTTAATGTATAGGGTATTAGAAAATGCATATATAATACATGTCAGGACATTAGAAAATGCATATATACATATATATGAGACATATATATAATACATATATTGACCATAACGTCATAACGTTTAATCCGATCATTCCAGTTAAGCTTTAATGACTCTGTTATACATTAGGGCTCATTAATGCCTTAGGAATTCCGATATTTAGCGTCCTTAGATTTAGCAGCTTAGCCATTGTGTCTATATATTTGTGCATCATGTCTCAGAATTTTGTCTGATAGTTGAGAATTTATAAACATTTGATATGAATAAAATATTAAATATATGTGCTCATATACGTGCTCTGTTTGTACGTCGTTGTGTGTGCTCGCTTCTTCATATTTTCTTTCTTCGTTAATCACCCTCTCCCTCTCTCTCTCATCGTGCGAGTTATTAGTGAAGGTAACTGTGTAACATTTCGAAATCTCGTTTCTGCCAATTAAACTCAAAACGCGAACGCGCCGCAAGAAGAATGAATTCCTTTGTTGGTCAATATAAATTTACAGCGCGATATATATGTTGCGTTGTTGAAAAAAGTGCAAATTGTATTCGCCACTTGTCTTCCTCGTTTAAATTTTTTATTTGAATGTATCTCAGTGTGTTCTTTTTCGTCTTTGCTGTTATTAATACTATAGAATAATATTCAAAATGGCGAAGAAATTTCCGTCGAAAGCGAATCGATTCGCTCGAATCGTCACCGCGAATCGTCCTTATTTTTTCGACCTAATAATTTCCGTTCCCGTGCACAAAATTCTACCAGCCGAACAATCAAAATAACAAAAAATATTCAAACTTAAAATTTCTACTTTTAATTATATATATGTATCGCGTGAAAAAGCTTTTTTACATAGCTGATATATTTAAATGTAAATTATAAATAGAGTTTTAAAATAAATTATTACTATTAAATTGCTATTAAAATTTTCAGATTTGTTTAAATTTTAAAAAACTTGAAAAATGTTTGAATTTGTAGGCCTGATTGAAATATTACTAACGGTCTTCTTGTTCTATTTCCCCCTCCCTGTCGATTTACATAGTCTATAAGAATGTACTCCTCTATTGAATTTTACAAATATAATAAATAACAATATAATAAATATAAAATAAATATTTTTCAATTGACCAATCACACGATAAAAATTCTTTTTCTTTATTCTGATTGGTTGATGGAACGAACAGGAAAACCAAGAATGTGGATAAGGTATGTTCTGATCATGCGCAACCCTCGAAAAGGACACATAGAGAAAAGTGACGAGGGTAGCATTCTAGAGTAGTGGAAAATGTCGCTATAGCGGAAGAGAACGACTGGGCGTTTAGTGCGAAAGGAGCGGGAGAAGTACTCTTGCCTTTGAGAGAACACGGGTACTTAAGTGGGGGAGTCCTGCCGCATGACTCTGACGGGCCAGAGTAAGACCCAACACAGTTAGGGCTCACGCGTCGTACTGTTAACTTACTCGGTCTGCTCTTGATCATTTTGAAGACTGATAAGTTCCGATCTTCACTATGGAGAATTCGTGAGATGTCTCCTTTTTCTGTGACATCAAGAGGGCGTTTTGGGTATACGATCATTTCGCGTACGGCGAACAAGATATCATTGTATCGCAACAGCACTGGAAACATTTGCACAACCTTGTTGCGGATTTTTCTTGCCAGTGATAGTGGTGGACTACGTTATATTCTCGCGCGTGATCCGTTGATCAAATTAGTGCGTGTGATAAGGATGCTGACCGAGTGATCCACAGTGTGCATTGTGCTTTGGATAGATTTACAACAAAAGTCCTCTCTCTGAAGCCGTAGAGACGATACCAGCTTAGTTGTGTTACGTTACAAGTAAGTCAACAATTATTATTAAATACGATCACTTTTAGACGAATGTTTTTGTTTCACATTTCAAATATGACCTTTGATTTTCACATACATGTTGATATGCGGTATAAACGCAAACTATCGCCTGATAAGATTTATAGTTAACGGAAGGGTGCGCGTGGTAATATGCATCTTGAATCATCTCAACAGGTGCGTGGAAAGCAAGGGTCAGAGTGCGGCACGTACGTGCGCGTAGACCGGGTTTCTTCGAATGATGGTACAATCGCGAAAAAGGGGGTTATTTAGAGATAAAATAAAATAAGTCAAAAATGTAAAATAAGTTCTTTTATATGAGGCTTTATTTCTGAGAAAAATTACTCAAAAAATTGAGAAATATAATAATAATCCGTACTTTTTTAAGTCTGAATGATTTCTTAGGATTGACAATGACCATCGATGATCATCGTGATCAATTTCGATAGCGTTTATAGAAATATGTATAAGAGACACAAAATTTTATTGAAGAAATAAAAATGATACAAATATACGATAATTTCTCCTGTAACTTAATTTATTTCAAATTGCTATATATTGCATATTGCTTTTATATGTTAACAACCGCTAAATTCTACTTTTGTAATATAAAATCATCTTGAATGTTTTTCAAATTTTAGAAAATAAATATGTTATTTCATAACTTTTGTATAAAGTTTTTTTTTTAAAAAAGATTTTATTGTATTTATTTATTTCTATTTTATTTTATTTAATTTATTTCTGACTTATTTTTTTTATCAAAAATCATTTTCTTTTTGATTTTATCACCAATCGAAGGAACTGTGTATGAGCAAGGTACTAGTATAATAAAATTTAGCAATAAAATTAAGATGTTTTTATAAAAAAAACAAAAAAAAATAACTAAAATTAAAAATTGATTGTGTAATATTATTGAATAATGATACGATATCTCTAATGGAAATCATGCAACTGACATCATTGAAAGTAAACCAATGATGCAATTTGTGTTATTGACATTGTGTCTTAATTTGCATAGAGAATATGGGTAAGAATACAGATTTTGAATTGAGAATACCAATAAGCTTCGGTGGTGTTCCATAATTTTACGAATCGGTTGTCGTCTAGTACTTCTTGTGCCACATACGTCACTTGAATTACCACGCTTTCTAACGATAGAACTTCGTTCGCTACTCACGATAAGTAACCGTCTATTTGTGCGCACAAGTCGATAATTTTGCGACAGCATCGAATTGATCAGAGCCCATATCGTGCTTTCCGTTATCGTAAATCACACTTGAGACTAGGTCAAGTTTAGATTCAAACGTATTTGGAAAATCTGGAAGAGAAAGAAATTCTTTCAGAGAGCGCTATTACGAATCTTTGACCCAGTAACAAATCAAAGATTCTAGAAATCTGGCAATCAAAATTCGTGTTAAAAGCGAGAAGATGAATCCGTATTCGTTTATAATAATTCCTTAATTGAAATAAATCGATGGTAGTTTTTATTCAAGTAAATATTATCTTTTATTCACAAATAAAATTTTTATATTTGTTTTCACATATTTTTTTTATACTTTAATAAAAAATATTATATGATTTTTTTTATTATTATAAGTAATCATTATAAGTAAAATTTTTTTAAAATAATAAGAATTTTGACGACATCTCAAAATGCAAAAAATAATTATAAACTTTTTCATAAAAAATTAAATTACTACTTTAAAACTTTGATACAAAAGTAAATAAAATGGTAACCTCTCTCTTGTGTCAAAAGAAATGACAGTCAATATTATAACCTCATATTTTTTTCCATTTTGAGAATTGTATACTGTTAAGGTTTGGCTTTAGAGGCCAACGTGTGTATAATAACGGAACTTAGAATTGATACTGCAGAGAAGATTACTTGGTCAAAATTGGGTCGTAAAGAAGATTACGGTGCTTTTGATAAAAAAATAACAATTGAGAAAAATATGTGTACTAACATTTTATATTTTTTGAGAGAAAAAGTATTTTTATTAATATTTTGTCAAAAATAATTTCAATGGCATTTTTTTCTTGTGCTAATGCAATTTTGAAAATATAAGAAAATTTCACGTCTTTTGAGAATATAAAATCTATTCGTTGGGATTTATTCAAGTGCATTCTCTCGATCAAGATAATAAAATTATTTTTCACACACACAAATTCTATGATTTTAAATGTTTCTCTATGACACGCGCGATATTATATATGCGAGTTTGTGCAAACTGCGTACGATTAACAAAATTTTGATTTCTTTTCACAATGCATGCCGTTTGAGGACTATTCAAATTTCTGCAAGCAAAAACACACACATCTCTCTATATACACACTTTACGATATATCTACATATTTTCTCAATGATTCTTCGGCAATTTACAAAAGCCAGTTCGCCTATTAGGTATTCGAGCACCGACGATAACGACGTGAACTACCTAAACTATGGCAATGACGACGGGAGAGGTTGCTAAGTTTGCGGTGAAATTTCTCCGGAACGACTTCCTCGACTGTTCGCTAGTGGGGATCCGACTTGTTGCTCGAGGTTGTAGACATCTCGCAAGGCGGTTCGTTGCACCTCGATGCCAATCTACGACTGGCTCGGGACAATCTCAGTGTCAGATCGCCGATTTCTAGTAGCGCATGCATTTTATGCAATGATTCTCTTCTATCCGTTATAGCTCGATTTCGATCAAGTATTATTCTTACACGCGGTGGAGATTGTTCAATTAATATTTTAATAAAGAATCGGTGGTATCTTTTGTTAATCGCGAGATGATCATGTAATCGTATGGAATGTTGACTGATAGCTGGCTAGACTTTTTTGCAGTTTGACAATATTAATATTGTCCGTTTAATTTCTCGTCCCGATTACTAAATTCTCTAAATCGCTGAATGCTAACGATAAAGATTTGTACGAAAATATCCACATAGATAAAAAAGAATAGTTTCTGTTTCTCTAACATTAATATTTCTTCGTAAATAAGTGAGTTCATAATTAGAATATTATTGTGCTAAACTATTACAGTAGTTAGATATTCGTTAAGACGATGGTTCAGCAAGACATGTCTTATTCTCTCGCAGATTGTACTTTTCATCGCATAGTTAATGCAGCACAAAGTAAGAAACGAAGTCTCTATTTCTATTCTATCTCTTTGACGAGCAATAACTCTCATTAGATTTGTTTGTAAAATATTTTGCTAAAGTTTCTTCATTATACGCTAAAATATTCTTTATATTAACATGAAATGTTGGTATCAATATAGGAAATATTTTAAACGTGTAATAAAAAGATATTTTGTTTTAATATATAAATTGTAAATTATGCTGGTGTAAATGTTATATAATAATATGCTTGAAGAAAATTTTTTTGACGGAAGTGATTGTAAGAAAAATAAAGTTTGAAGATCTAATTAATAAAATCTAAAAAAAAATCATTTAATATAATAGTATATAATACTTAATAAACGTATTATTTAAATAATAAAATTTTAACATAAATGTTTAAAACATTCATGATTCTCTCTATATTGAACATTCTCTACATACTATATATATTTAATATATAATTAAACTTATAAAATTAAATATATATGTATCATAAAATTAAGCGTACATTTGTTTATACAGATGAAGTTTTCGACGCACTTGTGATGGTCTCCTTAAAAATATCAAATGGCCAATTAAATTTTTTAATTTATATTATATGCTGAAACGTAAAACCAATAAAGATATTGTTTTTTGTGGGTCAATTTTGTCGACATTGTTTCGTAAAACGGTCGATGTAATTTTACAAAAGTAAAAAGAGAGAGATGAAAAAGACAGAGAGATAGGAAGAAAGAGAGGCATGAGAAAGAAACGGCGAGAAATAGAAGCAGAAAGGGAATGCGAGATAGACAAGGAAAGAGAGAGGAAAGACGAGAGAGAGAAAAAGTAGCGCCGTTGCTGCGAGAGAAGGACGGCGGAACAACAGTATGGCGGGGGGTTCTCACTGTTGCAGCAGTGACTAGAGAGTAGGTCAGTGTACCACATTAACCGGTACTCCGACGGAGACCGGTGGGGAGGTCTTCCGACTCGTCGCGGTTCCGTAGAGGCTATAGATACCACCTTTACCTCCACGGTCGCTCATGGTCGTCCATGGACGGGTCTACGGGACTCCGCAATCCGTCCGCGGTCTTTACGGAAATCTATGGATTCGCGGGGACCTTAATGGTCATTCGCGTCGACCCATAGGAGAGCCCGTATATAGAAATATGTACATAGTTGATGGCCCGTTGTGTGAATTTTCTATTGTAAAAATTCTCGTAATTTCTTTTTTATTATCTCTTCCTACCTGAATTTTGAATGCAGAGTTTAAAGACGCTGCACGACCAGAATAAGGAAAAATATAGAAAAAATAAGGAAAACGAAGAAGATAAGAAAAGATATAGAAGATCAAAAAATATTCGACGTTTCTTAATTTCTAGACGTCAATTAGACTGCATTTTTTATAAGCTATTCCAATTATTTGACTTGTATGTTATTTGTGGTCTGATGTTGGTTTATAATTCTTTGGAATTTTCCGATAATGCGCTCGGAGATTTGCTTCGTATGTACGCTACTTGTCCTTGCAGCGAAAGTGCTATGAAATGTCGATAGACCAGTGTTGTTTCGATGCCTCAACCGCAGCTATGCGAATGTCCGCCAATCCGCGCGTACTTCCTCGACGTCCTCTCCGTCCTCATCGTCTTTAACCTTTACCTTAAGGGTCGTCGCACTTTCTCCGGCGACGAAGCGGTGCCAGGTTGCCTCGCGTACGCATCTATATACGTATCGAGTCGCGACTAGATCCTCCTTTTGATGTCAACATTCAGGCAAAGATCGGCTTCAATAACAACAATAATACGATCATGTTTATCGAGAAGAAATTTGTCGCGTAAACATAATATAATCGTACGATTTCTCGACCTTTTCCACAATCAAACTTATTTATTTTGAAATATTATCAATTTTCT